TAAAACAATAATAGGGCGACTGCTAATCGACGAACGCCGTTGACAAAACCGCATTATTTTTTCTGCCACAGTGTCATAATGTCAATGTCAATAATATTCTCCAGTGTACCGTAACCGACAGCAGAAACCGAAAAACGATACGTCTTTACGTCAGCATGCTGTACATACAATATGTATATGAACGTTATAGTCACAGTTGTTTTTCCAAAATAGCTAAAGCAATATTGCAAACTCGACAAATAATAAATCATAAGGGAAAAACTATATCTTGATAACCATTTACAATAAGTTTCCGTGTTAAATTATGTAATCATCGTTCAAAGTTTGACCTCAATTTATTATAGCTGTTATTATAAAATACATCTGTTATCATGTATTTATGATTCGTCATAACATATAATTGATTGCTTTACTAGTCTTACTTTTTAAACTATCACCAGTAAATAAAATCACAGAAACAAATTTACTTAAGCGTTTAACTGGCATTTCTACCAACAGCTTTGAAACAGTTCTAATTACTAACAACCAAAATAAGCATATTTTTCGAAATTATTTTACTCTGTTTAGCCCTTAGTTATAACGTATATTTGCATGAAAGGTTTTTGTGAAATCAAATGTGCGCTAAGTTATCAGCTGAATCTTTTAGAGCTGAATGGTGTTGCCATGTTATTTATTACCTTAAGTAATGATAATAAAATAAGTTTATAGCAGCGCCAGAGGTGACGCCCAAACGACCCAAGAAAAATTTAATACAATTCTATCGTTAAACTTTTTTTTCATTTTTTAACGTTATTCGAAACTATCATTTTCCGATATTTATCGACAACTAAGCGTACGAGTTTTCACTTTAGCTTTCTTGGCAAATAGTTTCTACTTCAAAGGTCTGGCCGACCCTTATAACAATAAGATATCATACTCCCAAAGACCTCCGAGCAACTCTGACAATGACTGTAAGGTGTTGCGCACCCTTATATAATTTAGCCTGACTAAACAGGATTTGCATCAATCAAAGCTCAAGATATTTGTTTGGTTATCGAAACTGAATAAACAAATATAAATTAAACATAGTATCTGAACCGAGAGCGGTGCAGTTCCTGAACTCTGTGGTAAATTCAAAATGTTTTACTGAGGAATAGCACTTATTTAGCTTACTCGGAAAGAAACTGTTGAAAATATACGATTTCCCGTAAAACGTTTAAATATTACAATGATATATTTCTAGAGAGATTCAACCCGAAAAAAAATGAATAAATTAAAAATGCGAATTCCTCGTAATGTATTGTCCAAAAGTACGGAGAAAGACATCGTAATCACAAAATGTGTAACAAGTTGAATTGTTTAAAACGAGTGTGCAATGGAGTTTATTATTGTAAATGCAACAAATCATACAAGAAGATTATAATTAGAATTATAAAAATAACTATTTTTATTTATGTAATTAACACGAATAGAAATGGTAACGAAAAAATGGAGTATTCAAAGTCTGCAATTAGAACAGTTTAAAACAAAGTTTCTAGATAAGAAATGGCCAAATCGAAATAATAACAAATTATGAACTAATTATTAATAATGATAGGTCACGGATACCGGTTTTTAACATTTACATTTACTCGGTCCAAAATAACCACAACATAATACGTGTCTGTGGGTTATCTAACGACACGCTTTTAGTAGCTAGTAAATATCACTATTACAAAAGAATTGGGTAAACTGTTTTTCATTAAAAATTAAAAAAACATTAATGACTATAAATCATAAGCATTTCTCCATATTGGTACGTCCATTTGTACATTCTAACGTGAAGCCACTGTGTAGAATAGTACGACCTTAACGGTTTATGATTTGTACTTAACTAATTTGCTGTGTGTCCGCTAAATTACAACTGACGCATTTGAAAGATTACGGAATGATGTTCAGTGAAAAAGTGACTTGAAATATTAACACTTGGCCTGCTATTCGGTTTGTTCGGACAAATGGCTCGCGACAATGAAAGTGGCTTGGCTTATATTTTATACGATCAAAGCTTTGTTAACGTAATGAGATTTGAGAGCAACAACACCTTGTTACATTAGAGTGAATGCGGAAAAAATAATTACAGGTTAAATTATTCTAAAATGTTATAAAATTGAATCAAGTTAAAAAAAAATCCTACAAAATTAGATACGATTAAACGTCCAATCGTTGTTAAATTTAATTTTTGTTGACTCGTTTGTTGTTTAGTCGAAAAGTTTTTATAATTTAAACCTAATTGAAATTACAATTTTAAATTTCCAAGGTTTGGTCTGCACAATAAGTTTTTAAAATTAAATATTAAGCTGATAAACATTTTTTAATTGTTACTTTTATCATGCAGAATGTTTTATTAAAAGCATATTGCACCTCATATTTTCGTCAAATAATGATTTTTTCATGAAAATGTTTAAAATGAAATCTTATTTATTTTTATGATCCATAGTATATATCAAGTTTATTCTAAGAAAATATTATTCCTAAGGGTAGGTTTTAGGGGTAATATTTTTACTGTTAAATGGGAAATGGTCTAAATAAAATGTTGACAAGTCGATAACCAGTTTTGTATTATTACTTTTTGAGATATTAGCATTTGAAGATTTAAAAAAGGGTCGAGCGGAGTGGTATTTAACGACACTCTATTTTTACCATAACCCAAAGATAAGAATTCATCTACGTTGCGCAGCCCACTCGCCTATAACAAAAAATTATCATTCATTCTAAGTTTTTTTTGTTTTAAAGTATACGATAAAACAATCAATGACAATATGTATTTAAATAGTTATTAAATGGTTTCATAAACACAGTATAATGCCAGTAACATTAAACAATGCCTATAGACGACAAATGAATATTTTACTAAAGATAATTCATTGAATGATATATTTGGTTCTTAGAAACAAAAGCAAAACGATAAATTATGTTAACTTTTTATTGATTGTTTTGAATAAAGCCCTTTTGGTTTTAAAGTACTTAATCATTAGCTTAGATCGGCTAAAAAAATATCGTAGCATTGCTAACGAGTTCGTCCTAATATCCTATAAATAATCATTTTATTCTTTAATAAGACCACAGAAAAGATAGTTTTTACAATTTGATGGTATATTTGCTGTTTATTTTGTAATTGAAAAATTAATACGTGTCAATTATTGACTTCAACAGTTAGGATTTTGTTGGAAATGAAAATGACGAGTAAATTTTCCAAAAAAAAAAAAAAATGTAAAATTAAACAATGAACAACATACCGAAACGATTAATTTACATAAATCATTTCCATTATAATGCGCTCACCTTTATAAATAATAAATCATTTTTAATACCTACTGTTGTTAAACAATGGGGTTAAAAATTTCGTTGCTTCTTTATTACAATCGCTTGACTGCAATTAGTATAGACGAGTGGAAAAAAGTTCTCTTTGTCCAGCAAGTCCCATAAAAATGTCACTGAAGAATCGGCCTCTATGGAAATGATCGTGGAAGCTTTTTGGTTTTCATAATTGCCACGTACACATGCGAGGGCATTAATTTCACCGTAATTATAAATATCCCGTCGAGTAACAGAATCACTCAAAGTTTCGACAGAGTTTTTATAAACCCTTATGTTATTACACTGGACAATACCATATATGTATACAACAAAAATGTACGTACATGGAGAATACGGTGTATCATGAACATTGTACGCAGATCGTACTTTTTGCAGTTAATTTTGAGATAGACTTACTTTTCATTCGAAATCGCATTAAAGTTTTTTAATCTTCATATCTCAAACGAATGTCAAAACATATGAGAAGCTTTTTCGTCCGTTTACTAAACAACAGTTTTGCGAAACATTTGATGAAGTTTTATACCTCCCAAATGAAAAACCGTAGAAATATTTGTTTGATAAAACCGCACAATATTATGTACTCGTATGAAACGACCGTATAGAAGATAATTCGAAACTAACATAAATTAACGAAGGCCAATCAGAGAATTACATAATATGTAATATGATTGTATGATACGATAGAGAAGACAATTCCGAGTAAGGTTTGTAAAACGCATTGGAGCAGTCACAGTTACGAGGGAAAATAGACAAGATCCATTTTATAGTGCTTCTTGCGCGTACGACCGGAACTTTATTATTTTCTAATGTATAAATATGTAATGTCATAAAAACGTCTTATCCTCGCCGTAATAACACACAACCGTTAACCATTCTAGGAATCTTCAATTTCAAAATTGAAAGAAACATTGCGCTAATTTCACCGTCGTTACCGAGAAACGCACTTCATTTAATGGAGTACAATTCGCCAATGTTATCAATACACCTTCGGAACACAACAGTGTATTGGCATTCGATCATACGGTAGTGATTTTATTACGACGCTCGTCCGTCGTCACTTATTATGTATTTTATTTTTATGGTCTATGAAAACCTTTGAAAGTTACTTGAGGCCTCGAAAAGTCGTTCGTTTAATATGTTTACGAGGGTACTCAAATTTAGGGCGCAGTTGAGCATAATGCATTTTATAGATATCAACTACTTAGAATGATATGAATACTTAGATATGAGCTACTGTCTTGGCGGTAAAATAGAGGAGTTCGCCGGCTCTACAGTATCTTTTCAGTGTAATTGGCTGGATTTGTAAAATGGTTCAAATAACAAATGTAACTTAGACCTTTTTAGTTTATTTATTTTCGTTCGGACACAATCAGACCAGTACTTAGGACACCCACGCTAAACGTTTTATACCATAATTCTCAATTAGTCTTCATAATTGTACAGCGCACTTGCATTTTTGCACTATATCATTTCTACTATTCGACGAAATTCCTTTATATTTAAAAATATTTGTTTTTTTTTTATAGCTGCTACTACTAGTAAATTTATTTTTTCCAACATGAGTTCATTAAATAATAAACCTCAACTCCGTATACATTATTGATTAAAATCTAATCGAGTATTACTTTAACCTGTTATATACATTTCTCTTTGTTATGTTACAGAAGAAAAAAACTTGTATCTACCTACTGATGAATCTACTGAACTATATTTATTGGCATTTTTAAGGACTTGTAAATATTATCCAGAAAGTGCCTTCAAAAGAGTAAGTATCATAATATTATTAATTTAGTTCTCTTTTAACAAATATCCAAACCTATTATTAATCTTCATTCGTCAATTTTTATGTTCAGATAAAAAATTTATACAAGTTACGCCAAAAAAATCCAAAATTTTGTAGTGATCTAGTGCCTAGTTTAGAGAGGAACGTTTTTTCCCAAAACATTATGACGGTGTTGCCATCGCGTGATCAATATGGTAGACGGATATTACTAGCTGAGCTTGGAGGTAAGTGCTCGTGTAAAAAAATATTTTAATTTGAATTTAATCATGATATGACTTTTCTTAAATATCATCAGTTTATGAATATCGGTGCGTTACTTGTATTCTTACTGACTGATTACTAAAATTAACTTGATAAACTGGTACATTTTACCGCTATATGTAAAAGTTGATTATCCAGATCTCAATATTTGAACTGGATTTCTTATTTAACAAGTTTTTTCATATTCCAAGATATGAACACATTTCATAACACATAATGAGATATATCTGTATACACTATTTTATATGCACAGGTGGTTTCATTTGGTGGACTATGTCACAATAATATCATTAAAAAAACACAAACGCAATGGGTATCTGCACTTAATAATAGTAGTACACAATAATAAGCTTGGGTAAATAATGAACCACGTAGGTTTGCAGTTGCAATTGCGGTTAATGAATTGTATAAATTTTACCTCACTCAAATTTTTGTCTCGTTTCAATGACATTATGTCCCTCGTTAATACAATAATCTTATACGGTTAATAAAAGAAAATATTCTTTTATTTCGCGATTGCATTTTTTATAATGATATTTTTAATATTCCATAAAATTTTCATTGCAATGAATAATTCATTTATAATGAATCGAAATGATTTTTAATATCTAAATAAAATATTTTATTTTTATAACGATTTTTAATTGAGTAAGGTGCAGTGCTTGCACTAAAATTATATTGCAATTAAATATTTTACATCCAGTCATAATAACTCCTACATTCTCTTTAAGAACTTATAATTAAAAAAGTAATAGCTCTAAAGACGTTAATGATCTATAACTTTTCCAGTAAAATCATTTTTGTTTAAAAGGACTTATGTTTTAATACCGAACTACCATAATTTCTAGAATTAAGTATAACTAGACTATTATGTCCCATTAAACCAATCAAATATTGATACCCAAAATGTACTCCTTCTCCCGACAATTATATAACAATAGTTCAATTAAATTAACACAAATTCACATTACTTCAACTTTAAACTTCAACTATAATTTTATTCTTTTTAATTGTTCAAATTTTTTCAATACAGTTATTTTTTTTCATAAAAACAGACACAGTGAAAATATGGTAAAGTTTATTTATAATTATTCGATAAATCTTGAAAAACCTTTACAGAATTTTATCCAGGTTTTTCAGTTTTAATTGCCCTTGCAAATATGTTTTTATATAACCGATGGTTAAATTTACTGGCGGTAATACTTTTTAAATGTTTGCCAATTAATGTTTTCGACATAATTTGGTCCTTTTTACCTTTTTAGTTTTTCGTAAATATTTATTTGGGTGGATCCCAATAATACACTCGGTGGATTCATTAACATGTACTAAAAATTTATAATATTTCGTGTGTTTATCATATATACTTAATAAACGTATAGTCTAGTAGAGAAACCCTAAAAAAAAAAGGTGAGTTTTAATCTTTCCTCCGAGCCAAGATGAGTATATGTTTGTAAAAAATCTTTTTTTACTCGCAGAGTAATTGGTGTTTTTTTAAAGGCTACTAGATTTTAGTGTAAATAGATTTAATTTTAATTTATTAGTATTAATTGCAGAGAGATGGAAAACAAAAAACTGTTCGGTGACAGAAATTTTCCGAGGTATCGAGCTTGTTATGGAAGCAGCCATATTAGAACCAAAGACTCAAATATCTGGTACGGTACTTATAGTGGACACTACCGGACTTACAATTAACCATGTGTGGCAATTTACCCCTTCTTTTGCGAAACTTACATTAGATTGGATACAGGTAAGAGATTCTTAAGAAATAGATATAAGCCATTAAATGGTTCACGAAAAAAAAAAGCAATTTGATAAAGTACTTAAATCGAGTTATATTTATTAATTTTGAAAATGTGACAAATTATAAAGGAGGATAGCAGTACTTGTCCTCTATATGTGTTTGTTAAGTTTAGCACGTGGTATGTTTACGAATCTTTGCGGTATGGAATAAACTTTAAAAAAGAAGATACACTTTATTAAATATTTTTACAGTAAACACAATTTAAATGAAATCATAATCAAGTCAAACGTTTTAGACTTTTTTTTGGCACACATTGATGAGAGTTATTAATTAGTATTTCTTTAAAAAAAATTAGACTTATGTCAAATTTGTATTACAATTAAAATATTGAGTTTATGAAATTTACAATGTCTATCATTTTAATTGAGGGAACCTTTAATGTACATGCTTATGAATCACCTTCCATCTTTATATTTTTTTTAACAACAATACTATACAAAACAAAAGAATAACTATTTATTTTAAAAACAAATATTTGCGTGTTGTGACTATTTTCTATAGCAAAACTATAAATGTTTTTTTGCTTCGCAGAAAATAATTTTTATATTTAATTTTTTTTAAATAAAAGCTAATATTGTCATGGAACGTAATCTCAATATTATATAAATTTATCATTTTCTATTGATGATTGTCGTCAACGATCCGTTAAACCATAATTTTTTGACGCCTAAGCAAACGATTCAGTGGACGCCTCTGTACACAGTTCATTGCTTTTTTCAACTATTTAGTCCGTCTGGTGTCATTTAAAATAATAAAACAGAAAAAAATATATTTTGCAAACTAACTAGGCAATAAACAGTATTAATACTATTTAAATCGTTTCCCGTTTAAACTTGTTCATTATTTTTATTGTTAAGCCGATAAGACTGTAAAAATTAATGGTGGCCAGTGAAAAATAAAGTATTTCTCGACGCCAAATAAATGGTATTGCCGTCCGCATTCTATAATTACTGTGCTCAAGGTGTTTTTTACACCCCATAGTGATGTGAAGGCTGAAATTATTGCTAAAAATACAATAATCGTGTTTTATTACAATAAAAACTTTTAACAAATAAGTACCACCCGAATCAAAACCGTTTCCGACTCGTGTGCGATTGATTGAAAAACTTTTTTGCGAGAGTTTGCTTTTATAATTTTTACAATGAAATTAATATTCAACTGCACTTCCCTAGCTCCAAATCTATTCACAAAAACAATTGACTAGAAGAATTTTTAAGTTCAACTGCCACAGTAAATAAAATATGTCACAAAGCTCTTTCCAGAAAAGCTACTAAAAGGTCATTGAGTCAGACGAGTCATAAAATGAAGAAAAGTTCAAGATTTACTTAAAGTGCCATCAATTATGAAATTATTTTTCACAAGTCATTTACATATCTATTTCATCATGAATTAAATTTCATGTTCATGTTTTTTCAATGAAGAAGACAATTTATTATCCAATGGGTACAAATTAGTGTAATCACGTGTTTGTAATAAAAATGTTTTTGTGGACGAACAATAACATATCATTTTTCTTGTCGATAAAAAGTGTATTATGTTAGGTCAAAAGTGCAAACTATTAAAAATATTGATAATTAACATATTAGGTTATATAATTACTAAGTTATGAACAAAATAGTTTGAAAATCTATTGATATTTGAACTCGTTGTAAATTAAATTGATTAAAAGAGCGTCGTGAAAATATAAATATTATCTCAAAAGACGATATTTTTCAATTAAAACAAATAATTAGATTAAAAATATAATGTTCACTGATTATTATTTGTACAATAAATTAATTTTCTAAAATTCCTGCAAATAATCTACAAATTTTGTAAAAGTTTTTAAAAAATACGTTATTGTTACGTTTATTATAAAAGAAATTTAATTAAAATATATACGGTAAATTTTTAAATAAAATTTTTGGACGTACAAAAAATGTTCTTTTTTTATAAGAATGTTACGCGTTGTGTAAAACTCGAATTCTTTAACTTTTAAGAAATGTAAAAATAAATAACATCAAATTATTTCCCATCATATTAGTATACAAAATTGTTTTAAACTTTTCTTTTAATTTCTTTTACTAAAGTTTTAATGATCATAGAGGCTTAATAAACTAATGAAAAAAGCAATCGAAATTTTAATTACACTCATTATAAATTTCTATCGCAAACCTATACAGGGTTATGCTTTTTTTTCCAGTCAAAAAACTTATTATTTAAGACGTTAAATATAAATTGAAAGCAGAGCGATGAAACTTAATTATTTAATATGCTTAAGCTACTTTGTTTCCTGTTTGTTAACGATTTTTATTATTATTGTTTCAGTACTCAATGCCATCAAGACTGAAAGAAGTACATATTGTCAACCAACCGTATTTATTTAACATGATATTCACCATGTTTAAACCTTTCATGCAAGAAAAACTCAGAAATCGAGTAAGTTAACTACCATCGGAGAGTAACCAAAACTACATAAGCCATTACGGTTGTGTCATAGTAAATTCATGTTATCTATAGCCGCTGGTTCTTATACACCATTTGTTTTCTACACAGTTAAAAGGACATTTCTATTCCTATTTCATTTGCCGCGTGTAGTTTCGCAGTCGTTTACTTCTTGTTTGACTTTATACCATCGAGGCCTTATTCTTTGAACTTTATATTTAACTTATACTTTACATCTATACACTATAAAATGCTATTGCTATGCATCAAACACAATGAGTTCGTTGTCAACAACGATTGATCCTTTATATGAAATTTCTAACAATATGAGCAATCTAAATTATATTACCGCTAAGACTTCTATTTATGTTTTTTCTTTATAAGACTATTATAGAACTCTTTCTAATTAATCTCTCAAATGTTTATTCGATGTTTTAGTTAAGCTGAGTAGGTATTCATACAGTCGGTGTTTGTCTTACCGTTTTTACTTGTATTTCACTGTAAACAAAAAGATTGTTTTTCAGTTGTTCATCGAATTGCTCATTCATTTCTTGTCACGTTTAACTTTATTCTAGTTTGGGTAAAACATAAACAACTTCTTTTTATAGACAATCGTGCGTTTTTTTTTTTTTTTTTTTTTTAATACTGCAGTCATTATTCCGAGTTTTCCCTAACTATTATAATTTACACAAACTATCGCTTGTTGAATTTTTATTTTTCACTGGGCTCGAGTTTCTTGACAAGGCAAATATTTGAATACACGTATTTACTTATGACCTGTCTCCTACTTTGATTTGTTTTTATTATAATTTTTTGAATAGTTTTTGTACTACATCGTTATAATTTTAATTTTTTAAATTTGAAATGCAGTTAGAAATGCACCGACGAGTTCAAGAAATATTTAAATTTCATCAACATTAAACATTAGTTGAAAAAAATTATTTTGTTTGATCAAGTCTATTATTGAACAGAGATAATTTGTAAGCTATACAGGTTAATAAATTTAGAGTATTATACGAGCGCTTCGTACATTATCATCAGTCATTAAAACTAACATTAGCGCAGCAATAATATTTGTTTCTACACGCAAATTAATTTCATAATAATGTGTAAATTAATCAAGAGCTAGTGAGAGATCCAAACATGTTTAGTAAAAACTTTTTTTATAAGTATAAAACTTAAAAAAAACATGTTATATATAACTCTTTGTGAAGAATGTAATAAAATACATCTAACAGGACTAAATCATTTTTTTATCCAAAGAGAATAAGTTTCATTCTTAATCGGACCAATTCCTACTGTTGTACTATTTTCGCCTGCGAGTCTGTTATAATGATTAAAATGGTAAAAGGTTATCCGTTTACCATTAAAAAACTTTTCATTATATTTATTAATTCTCCGGAAAAAATATATAATCGCGACTTGTCTAATCTGTAAGTTTTCTCGTCACTAAAAACTATTATAAATCATATGGAAATTTCGAAAATAAAAATGCCTTGACGTTTAATAAACATTGAACGTAACCTTTGACAAAGTGATGTATCAAATTACAAAGCATAAATTATTTTATTTTTGTACACAGAAATTCGTGAGCGCGTCTTTTTCGTAATTCGATACGTGTGGCGTTCCTGGGCCGGCTGTTTGAAACATCCAAGACACATTCCCATTAATTATGAATCGAGATCGTTTCATTAATACATGGCGTTTATTATACACCTTCGGTTTTATCATATTGCACTCGGATTTCGCGGTTGTTCGACTAATCCACATTTGTATTCGAATTTATACGACATCACGTGTACAAATGATTTTTATGGAATTCTGTACGACCGTGTCGCCGAGAGACTTTTGCGCGCATTAGGTCGGGCAGTGCGTTTCGGGACCGTCGTAAAAGCAGCTTAACTAATATATACATAAAACGTTCGGGTTTCATTTAGGAAAAACAAAACGTTTCTTTAGATTCCGCTTTGGCTGCAATAAAACAGTTGCGAGCAAACGGATTGTAAATAATTTAACTTTAACCTAGTGCTCTTTTTTTTTTTTTTTATGTGGTCCCCACGTCAAATTTACTATTGTGCGCCCGGAAACGCTGCGACCAACACATTCATGCGTTTGTCGTCTTTTAATATCAAAATGTTTACATTTTTGCAGATGTTTTTGCACGGCTATGATCATTTGTCGTTATTGAACTATATAGACGGCAAATGTTTACCGACCAAATATGGTGGACTAATGGCAATAGAAACTAACCAAAGTTTAGACCTGTGGCAGCTACTTTGCCGTTACGACGAAAACTATAAAGGTAACCCAACTGTACAAGGCTACTTTTTATTATAAACTTTAGAATGCCAGTGCACTAGCACATATACACTTTAGTACCGCATGTTAATACCATTCTATGATATTAAACCCTCTAGCACTCTTTTTAACAAATAAAAACACTCTCTCATTTACAACAATGTAACCAAACATAAAAACTATCTTCTTAAAGTTAAAATTTCAAATATTATGTTTTCCCATAATAGCAATAATTCCCAACTAGCTCCTATAAGGTTTATACTTAAATTTAATGATATATATATATTGTAGAATATAAATGATCTAGATCGTTTGATACCCGACTGACTGACAATAAAACATTTAAAAGAACAGAAATATAAAGAAAATGTATATGCGAAGCAAAAAGTAGCCAATACATTAAATCATATCAGAAAACTAAATGAAAAATATTTTTCAAAATTTCAGACGTGTTTTAGATACTGTAAACACATTTTATACATATCTTAAGTTTGTAAATCGAATCACTCGTTTGGTTGTTGCACGCGAGGAATTCTTTGAATATTGAAGTACATATTCGGATATTTAGGAGTTCTGAGTAGGCAACTTAACCGTCTTCGGTGTTGCGTGACACGACGGTCGCTCGTGTAATTGGAAATACAGTATCAGGAATTCAGGAGGTACGCCGTGTTGATTGACATCGTCGTCGATGATAAAGTATCCCGGGACGGTTGGGCGAGTTCCAATAATGAATTGTGATAAATATCTACCAGGAATTCAGAAGATGAATTCGTCTTTTTCCTGGACACATCGTCCGGTAGGGCGTCCCGGTATGCTGAATAGGTTTTTGCGGACAATTTGATGGACAGCCTTGTAGCTACGCGTGTGTATCATCACACACAAGTGATTCGCACGAATACATAATTACTCTCTATGTGATGTCGTCGTCATTAACCGTATTAAATAATTGAATAAACGCGTTCGTCTATGCGACGTCTACTTAAATTCATCACAACGCACTTTGGCGAGCTATTTTTTAAGTTATTTAACATGAACTCTTTGGCGTCCGCTTATAATATATTCTTTTAACCTCAATTGCCGTCGGAATAAATACAATTTGTAGGTACAAAAATGTTAAGAATCTAATAGATTATCGAATAGAGAAACGTTAAATTTGATAAACTACAGTAATGTTTTTGTTAACAATTTAACAAAATTAAAAATTTGTAGACAAAATTAAATCTATTTGTTAAAATCTAACTGGTTAAATTAAAATTTTATGTTTCAGTTACAAGTCAATATGGTTACACCAAAAAGAACAAACAGACCAAAATGTGAAATAACTATAACTCATAAACAATATTTCTACCTATAAAAGCATTGTCGGTCGTACAAGTCCACTGCTATTTAATTTTATTAAACAATTTTTACCATTTATATTATTGTAGTAATATTTAAGTTACACGCATACGACTACGCTTTTTTTTTTATTATTAGTTTTATTCATTATATACATCATATTAGCTGTGTGTACTTTTATTTCATGTTCTCAAAATCCTGTTTTGAATTTCTCGATCGCTGCGTTACGACAGCATTGAAAAACATTAAGCCGCCGCGTTATGTTTAGCAACAGCGCTCTGCTGGGAAAATTGCTTTTTTTTTTTATACACGTACCCTACACTCATTTTAGATACACGTTCACCTGCGCAAGAACAATAGTCTTTTGTGGGCATACAACCAAACGATGCTTGACGCATCCCTTAGTCGTTAACTCGGCATTTCATTAATGTGTCACGTTTTAGCATCAAATTTTTATATTTTTCAAAACGTTAACTGTGTAATGGTAATCCACATAATATTTACGCCGCCTAACGATAAAAAATCTCTCAAATGTTCTGCTTGATTGCAAACTTAATAGAAATTGATTATGTCAACTTGAAATTAGAATTCAGTATATTATAAAATTTGAAATAACTATCAAATATGTTTTCATGAAAATTAGAAAACTTTTTCGAGCTAATTTAGTCAGCTTGACATATTTATTTTAAATTAATATTTGTTTAAATAAAAATTTAAATGATTCTACCAACTGTTTCGATTATCATAGCAATATTTACTGTATAAATAGTAAAATTTATTATATTTTATAATTACATTTAGTAAGTGATAATATTGAAGAGTTTATTGTATGAAAAGTTTTATTATTTTTTTTGGCACTTTGGATAGAAAATTAGAAATATCTCAAACATAAATGAATGGAACAATATTAACAAAATAGAGCCAATAACATTTCATTTTGGTGTTGACATCTGTTTCACAACTTAGACAAAATTTCTGGGTGCGCTGTTCGAATACTGTTTCTATTATAATGTTTGCTCTTTAAAATGTACGAGGCTATTGGATACATTGATTTTTTGTCATTAAAATAAAAGTTAAAAGTATTAATATTATTAATTACCAAAAATTTGATAATTGTTATTTATTATATTGTATTAACAAAATATCAAAATAAATAGTCGAAAAGTACAAAAAACCATAAATTTAATTTACTTTTGAATGATGTATATGCAAAAAAACTGCAGACGGCCAATTTACCGAAAATATATTATTTTTTTGACTATTTGGTCGATAACTTCTAGAAATTAAATTTTATTTTCTCCATCTTTAAGTACATAGTATTAATTTTAATTTAATGTACGTTTAAAAAAGGTATTTTTTTTTTGGAATATTATCAAAGAAATTTAAAAGAAAAAAACTTAAGTAGTAGAATAAAACCAATAGCTTCTCAACTAAAGTATCGAAGTTAAAAAATGCACTATAAATGATTAAATCAAATGCTAAAATAACAATTTGTAAAGTTACAAAACTTGATTTTTGCGTCAAACCGAAATTTTAATTTTTAAATCAAACTTTCAATTTTTTAGTCAAGTTCGAACTTAAACCGCACATCAATTTCAATCATTCTCAGGAAAAACATTTTTACATTATTATTTAATAAATTCAGTGTTAGGTTTGATTACATAAGTTTGATTTTTGAACTGATTTAAAAAGGAAATGATCGTTTCGTTTTTTTTTTTTTTTTCAAAATTCGAGCTAAACCAAACACTCCAAGTTCGGTACGAAAATTGAACCGTTCAAATATAACAAATAAAAACTTTATTTTCTTTTTACAATTATATACTCAACAATTTCAACTATATGTCGAGATAATTAGTCTAAATTATATCGAGTGCATAATTTATTCATTTATTTGTTGGAGTACGCTAAGTACTATACCACCTATGGCAGGATAGATTTAGTATGCTAAAAACCTTTAGTGTACTCAACAACTTTTTTATGCTTCATGTTGATCATTCGGATGAATGCTGTAGTAATGCATAAAGGATCAACAGATATACATTGGGTTCAAAAATAGAAAATAAATAATATATTGAGAAAAACACTACTTCGGGCTCGAGAAAATTTGAGGTCGAGGACATTGAAATCTCCATTACTAAGAGTGTTTACTTGTACTCGTATTTTATAAAAATAATGTAGTTGAGAATTACTCAATCAAGCAAAGAATATTGTTGTATTTGTTTTTTAAATCACATATCATGTGTAAAATTTATTCCGTAACAAAATATTTTCAAAGATGTTGAGTATTTATTTATTTTCGTTAAGCTGTAGAGAGTACTTAGGACAAGACAAGCGCCACTTTCTCGAGCTAAGCGCAAACTAAAAAATGAGCAATGATATATTTAGGTGGGATTCGTCGTTGAATTATCATAACAATTCATTCGATTCCGTAAGAATACATCAAACCGATTGCACTCAAAATAATATTATCTATCAAATATTTTTCATAAAAATAAGCCGTAAAAAACGTTATAGAAATTGATCAACCCTAAAATTTAAATCTCGCAAAAAAAAACATAGCGATTTCTTAACTGCGACTCAAGAAAGAAATTTCATGAGTATTATTTCGTTTGTATTGTATATATTATAGTTTATATTTTCAAAAATATTAGAGTTAATCGTTATTTTATTTTATTAACAGTAATAGTTCTTTGTTGTGCATCTTTACACAAAAAAATAATTTTCTGTTGTTATTCTGTAGTAAATAATTTGATACAGAAATTTGATACGAGTTTACGATATAATTATTTTTTAACAGTAATAGTTCTTTGTCGAACTGATTTACATGAAAAATGTATTTTTAGTTACCATCTCTTATACCTAAAATCGTATCACGTTCCCATTTTCAAATGGCAACTTAATTTTTTTTTATATAATCACATTTATTCAATTGAAAAATAAAACAATTATTTGCTTAAAAAATATTTTTATATTATCTCATTTTTAGCGGAATGCAAATCTTTAAAGTTTAGAAGCTTTTAGTGTTCTTATTTTTAAAAACGGCACATTATCATGTCGGTTCATAGAAGTACGATAAACTGTATACCTTATTATGTTATGAACTAGTACCACTTATCAATTCACGACCTAAAAAGATGTTGTATTTTAAAATAAGTACGTTTTTTTTTTCTGATCACTTCTAAATTTCAAACTGTTGAAAATCACATAATATAAAAGGTTATTATAAACAAATACATTTTTAATGTAAAACAGTTCGAAAAAGAACTATAACTGTTAAACAATAATAATAATTATTTGCTCTAATATTTTTGGAGATATTTCATCGGGCATAGTCAAAGAGTTCTTCTTTATATATTTATGACATTTACATTACTTTTGCTCGTCGATTCGAATTCTGTGTATTCTAAAATGGACATTTCGGTTGTTGAACTTGTACTATGGCCGATTATTTTGTACGAACAAATGGTCTTTTATTTTATTTTATTATTAAAATTCTAGTTTTCACACGCACAGTACGCGTCCAGATGGCAGATGTCAAACATCAGACACTTTTTATCGTTCAAATGTCAATATACAGTACTCAAGTTGGAAAAGAACACGAAATCATTCGTAATTTTGAGAACGCGTTTTTCTTCTTTTTTTTTGGCGCTTGTATCACACGGTCCGAGATTGTTTATTATTATAAAATAAGAAATTGATTATTAGAACACAGAGAAAAGAATACCACTTCAGTATTTATTCTAACGCTTTGTCTGTAAACAAGGCACACATGTGCGAAGTATTATTTATATTAATATTAAGGCGTGCACACCCTTCTTAGCCGTATGTACCATTATACAATAATCATAAAACAAACATTATTTCCGAACAATAAAGCTAGTAAGAACACAGTTAAGGGTGTCCAATATAAAACCGGCTGTACATTATTTATAAAAACCTTGGCCCATGAATATAATACTTTATATAACACTTTAAGAAAGATATCATCGTCAAACAACGGTTGAAAATTTATACTTATTTTACCTATTCACTCCAAAAACTTTACAATCGAACATTGGAGTTGTTTACACTGTTTACAAATGCGCGTACCTTTTGTTCCCTCCAAACTAAGAGTTCTACAAAGTTTCTGTACACTAGTTATCTAATTATTGGTGCTGAATTTATTATTTCACAGCAAATATTATTTTTTGTCTTAATCTTTTAAATTGTTAAATCTTTTAAGTTTTTCTTTTATACCTTTTTAGGTTTATAAGATACTCGTTACAAAATGCAGAGTCAAATATATACCTAAGATTTAAAAAAGTTCTATATAAATTATATCCCGTAGTAATGTGTTATAATAGTGCATACGATTCGTGTTCGACATTGACATGCATTAGAGGAACCGATAAAGATTTTAATAAGATAATAATTTTATCATAAAATAAATGGTGTTTAAGCGAATGCGAATAATGTGATATTTTTCATATTTAGCTAATCAAAACGAATAAAATGATTAAGATATCCCTGAATCCCGAAGAAAAATTTGTATTACACGATTCCAGAGTAAAGAATCTTAATGCAATAGTATCAATTAAGTTATGAATTTTATTCGTTTAAAATTATAAACATACAGTCTTTTTCATCGGCTGTACTACTATTTTACATAAGTTCTGAGCAACACTTAAAAATCAGTGAGATCACTAGTTAGAAATTCAATGAATCTGAATTATATAATATTTCATTGAGTAAGTAACTTACTTACACGCCACTTTTCGTGCTACTGAATATATATATTTTTATAGTATAATAACATGTTTCGGTATGTTATTGAACCATAGCTGCAGAATTCTTGCTTAGGTCAAGCAATATGACAAACCCTACACATATAGTCATATTTTACATTTTTTTCCTTAGCGCCCTATTCGTTGTAGTGTTCAGGACAGTGTTAGTGATTTAACGGGTTTTTTCGTTTTATTGAACATTAAAAATGTCAAAATCACATAAGTACGCCATAATCCAGCCCAATCCCACTCATAATAATTCTTTACTACATCAAAGTACAATAAAATACAATTTTTCAGTATAACGACAACTAACAGTAAGTTACATGAAAGTCATCGATACACATTATGATCGCTGTACAATTTTCATTCTGCCCTATATTATTTTTGACAAAATAATT